CTAATGGATCCTGTGCAGTGAATGGGTGCCGTCAGAATGAGAGTCCAAACAGCTGATAAAAACATCACAATAATCCACAGGACTCCAGCCCATCAGTTAACATCTTGTGCAGTGAAAAGCTGCATGTTTGTAATTATCTAATCCATCATTAAGACATTTTAACTTGAAATCCTAACTTGATAGAGTCCTCTATCCATAATAAAAAAATTCAGTGAAACATTCTGATGGCACCCATTCACTGCAGAGGATCTATTGATGAGCAAGTGATGTAATGCTAAATTTCTCCAAATCTGTTGCGATGAAGAAACAAACTAATCTGTGTCTTGGATGGATTGAGAGTGAGTACATTTTCAGCAAATTTTCATTTTTGGGTGAACTTTTCCTTGAACTGTTGTATTGTGCAAGTGTGGTTTGAGGTTTGCTATTGAAGTCAAGCCACAGTGAGTTCAATGGCAAAACGTGGTGGACTAAATGGTCTATGCAAACAGTGCTTTCTTTTCTCTCCATAGCTTTGGAGCAGTTTACATGGTCACAGCCTTGTGAAATTTATTCTTTATTGTGGCCAAGGATTAAACAGGCATATTAAGCATCCCAAGCTGGGAATTCTAGGACGAGCAAGATGAATTGTCCATTGTGGAGGTAATTAGTAAGGAGCAAGAAGCATGCTTTTTGTTTGTTATGAGCTGTGTGCAGACTCTTGTAGATTTGTTTTAGGGTAAATAAATTGTTTTTTTTCTCTAACCTCTTAGAGAATGTTGAAAAATAACAATTATGACTTCCTTGACCATGCTGGTTGTTTTTATCTGAACTCTGGTATATTTTGAATGTGTTGAAGGCTGTTTTCACACTTGGTTTGATTGTTTGATTCAACCCTTCTGCTTTCACCCTGTAGTTTTGGGTCAGAATCGTGGTATGTTTGCATTTACAATGGAAGTGTTAGCAGCAACTGTGTACCACTATAAATAGTGTGCTACAAAGCATAACTCTTTCCCCACGACAAATGATTTTTTGGTAACACTTTAACCTGACACTTTTATATATTATTAAGGTATTTATAATGTACATTGTAAAGCATTCTGTATTTTTATAAATAATTGTAACCAAACTTAAAATGCGTTATAATATTTGCAGATTCCTTGTTACATCTAAAATTAGTTGTTTATCATGTTTTAATACATAATATTTTGAAAAAAGTGTAACAATGAATAGGTAAGTATTGTGGTTACAATTATTCATGAGATCATACAATGCATTTTAAGGTGTGTATATATATATGCGCTTCAGGTAAAGTGTTACTGATTTTACCTCCTGAAATATCTCTTCAGACTGTTGAAAAACAATTTTGGATATTTTACACTAACTATTAGGTTGGCCTTGTCTGTGTGTTTAACAGCAAGCGTACACGTTTACCTCATACCATTTATTACTGATTTCTTACTCGGAGTCTAGTTTTCACCTCAGGCCCAGCTACACTAAACAAAAACCAAGAGAATTTCAGATTAGGATCAAATTATGGGAACAAGCAGTCCTAGTCGCCTAAAAAAAAAAAGAAAGAAAAAAAACTCAACAACATAGGAAATATTCAGTATTAAATTATCAGGAAAGTGTGTGTGTGTGTGGGGTGGGAGTTGGGAAAGAACATAATGGAAGTGTCAAGGCATTTGTACTTATTCAGTAACTATGAGTGAATGCACTTTTTTAGGGAACTGATTGCTCTTTGTAAAGGAATATTTATTGATGCGTAAAGGAATATTGATGTGTAAGATGTGATAAATTACTTGGGAAAAAAAAAAGGCAAATGCTGTTTGGTTTATCCTTTTGGCTTTCTAGTTTATATTCTCAGTTCTTCGACAACATGCTCAGCTGACATAAATATGCAATAAAATACATCACCAGCACTAACTCAAGAAACCTTTGTGAAAATCAAAACAGTCTCACTTTGCCTATAGTTTTATGTTTTTAAAGGTAATGTGAAATAAGACTACCATCTTTTGAAATACAGTCTGATGATGTTGCAAGTTTGGCTGACTTTCTGATGTTGCTGTACATGTGCAGGCTGATATTTCTGTGGTAGTTAGGGAGTGATTTTGGTGGTGTTTATTGCTTAAGCCTTACTCCGAGACAGATAATGTGTATATATAAATGTATTAAGAACTAATTTAATTTTTGTAATGATTGAGCTTGACTTTTATTTGTAATAAAGGTTTTTTGGCCCTCACTCCTCTTGTCCCACTGCTCATTATACACGATTAAAAAAAAGATAAAATATTCAGCAAGAACACATTAAATTGATCATATATGACAGTACATACCTATATACTGTTATAAATAATTTGTATTTCAAATAAATTCTGGACTTTTGAATATTCTATTCGAGAATTCTAATAAAAAATAAATGTATCAGTTTCCACAAAAATATTAAGCAGCACAACTATTCTCAACATTGATAATAGGGAAATAGTGCCAAATCATCATATTAGTATCATCAATGTTAGAAATGGCTGCTGAAAATTCAGCTTTGCAATCACAGGAATAAATGTATTTATTTTAAAATATATTAAAAATCGAAAACAATCATTTTGAATTGTATCAATTCACATTATTACTGTTTTTACTTAAAAAAAAAAAAAATCTTTTGATAACAAAAGATCTGACAAATAATTTACCATGTTCCTATAGCATAATGTACAATGTATTTGATGTTTTTAAATATTCTGTTTCAAGGTTTATAAATGCAAATGAATCACAAACTTCATTTAATGTTCTTCCTTTAAAATTCATTTCAGCATATCAATTAATGCTAAAATGCACCACATTTACAACCTGAATTACTCTGCATACATCCAAACAAGCACAAAGAGGTAGTTCTATGTTGTAACTTGTTAACTTTGAGTAGATTTGCATGCTAAAGTGACTTGTCCAAGCAATAGACACCCAAGTTTGTTCTGTTGCCTTAGAGACATCTGATGAATATTGTTTAACCATGCCAAATGTGAACTTATATATAAATACATATCATGCAGTTTTCTTATTTGTAACATCTATTAATGGCATGTCACAACTGAAATTTTTTTTAAGGTCTATAAACAACTAGACTACTTTATTGACCAGATTTACAGTATAGTATATCACATTAAACCACATATAAAAACACTTTATTATTTTGTTATACACAGAATATCAACATTATAATGTCCTGAGAATACTCCTAATTATGATTCCTTTTTTAATATTCCTATTTTTTTTTTCTTTTTAAAAGCCAGTACAGAAATAGATATATGTTAGCACATGACAGGACACAAAACGAAAATGAACAGGGTAAGAAAAGCAATAATGGCATGGCGCTTACATCAGCACACGGTAAACATGACCATTTAGATATACGTGATTAACACATCCATTCAAAAACAGCATACCAAAGTCATTACAGGTTTCGAATACACCAGTATTCATGATTAAAGCAGTGCAAGCAGAAACAAAGCTGCAACTAAGTAACACTGTCACAGGAGTAAACACTGCATTTCCAGTGAATCCATACAGCCAATGGCAGTGATAGAAAGTTCATTACAGCCAAGCCAGTAATTGTGTAGTGCTGCAGTCAGACAGCATAAACAATCAATAAGTCAAAGGATGAGAATGTGTCCTGTGTCCTGAGAAGTTGATTCTCTGTTTTAAGGAATGTTGTTCTTATTGAAGTTGCTGCTATGTTTGGTATCACTGAGCTAATCCCGAGACAAACCCACCCCCCATTTTCACAATTCCCACCCAATAATGCCAATATTGATGACTGGTTAAATCAGATCCATTCTTTAGGGTTTCGTAAGACCTCCAGCATCTCGGCTTCCTTACTACCTTTTGTGGGCTCATGCATGTACTCCCACCTGAAATGAAACATTTATGGCTAGTGAGTTAGTAATATTAAATGATAGATTAATACAATAAAGACAGTTTAAATGACACTTAAGAAACAAGTTTACTTTAAAACATTACGTTGAGTTTTTAAAAGGGTCATATCATGAGGAATACCATTTTCCTTTATTGTTCGAGGTTATCGTAGGAGCTCATTTTCAGAAATGGTTGTAAAAAAAAGTATCTGTTTGGTGTAGAAAAACTTGTGTTAGAAGTGGACCTCAGGGGAAACATGAAAAAAACCTTTAAGAAAAGTATAATTTCTTTAAATTCTATAAGTAAACGCTATAAAATATAAAAATAAAATATATAAAAAAAATAAAAGCTCAAGAGGATGATCCATGGTAACAGGCAGTAGCAGATGTGACAAAGTTTGCTAAATACAAAATCCTTTACCTAGCAGTAAGTGGTAGGGACATCAGGATGCTCTCGATGCGAGACCCAGGTGTGGCCAGGCCGAATTTCACCCCTCTGTCATACACTAAGTTAAATTCGACGTATCTAGGAATCACAGAGAGTTTGGTTAGCTGCTGAACATTTATATATGACATACATATTATATGACAAACAACATCAAATTCAATTCAAAAGACAATTACAAATGTAGTCATAACTATACTATATTATCATACTACTATAAAATATTGAATAATGATGAACATTATTAATATTGAGTTATTTTAACAGAAACTAAAATAGACTTAAGACTGAATTTGCATAAGATACTATTTTATTTGTTTGTATATATATATTTAAGATATTTTTCTGTATGTCATTCTGTATGTTGCTGGCAATTTAATCTTTTCAGCATTATACTATAAAGCAATAAAAATATATTTATATATTTATATTATATTACTGTTCAAAAGTTTGGGGTCGGTAGTTTTTTTTTTATATGTGTTTGAAAGCAGTGTCTTATGTTCACCAAGGCTGCATTTATTTGATAAAAATACAGTAAAACAATACAATTGTGAAATAGTTGTTTTTGATATATTTTTAAAGGGGTCATATGATGCGATTTCAATTTTTCCTTTCTCTTTGGAGTGTTACAAGCCCTTGGTGCATAAAGAAGATCTGTAAAGTTGCAAAGACTAAAGTGCTCGGTGACGGATGTAGAAGTAATTGTCACACCTTGAGAGAAAAAAATAATAATACTGATGCTAACCTAATATTGAAAATGAAAATGTAGTTACAAATCTAGTTAATTACAAATAAAATTAAATGTAACAAAATTATAAAATACAAAAATGAAGTACTAACAATCAAAGATTTCAAAGGCTTTGTCTTTTAAATGAGCATCTGTCTCATTCATTATAAACTAAAAAAATAAATAAAAGGGATGCCTTGAAACAAAAGTGTTGACTCACAAAAAAACAAACAATGACTGCTGTAAATAATGAGAAATCTTATCACTGCTGAACACCCAGAAGATAAAACGCTCATACAGCACACACATCCTCACACCCATAACAGCTGTAACACACCCCATTCAAACTACACACAACAGTAATGAGATTCCTACCACTTTTTGAAGTCTGGGTAGTACTTAGGATGGTGCTTGTCACATGCTTTCTTCAGAGTCTTGTGGAAATGGGTGGCATCTTCCAAATCCACATAGACAGGAGTGAGATCCGTTCCTCCACCAAACCACCACTGCTTTGTGCCTGTGACAAGGAGGGAGATGGATAGAGAATGTGATGGGTGGTGGTCACAGATAACAACATCTCTCTTCTCACAGCGTCAAGTGACTTGGCAAGAACACTCACCGTCTGCTTCCTCAATCTCAAAGTATCTGTAGTTAAAGTGCACTGTGGGAATGTGGGTTTTTTTTGGGTGTATGACTGAACTCACGCCCATGGCACAGAACGGCAGCTTCCCTGGAACACAGAGATATTGCTAAACGGTAAAAACAATAATTTAAGCATCAAGTCACGTCATCTCAATCACTCTCAATTCCATGTAACATGACTAATCTTCCCAGTGAATGCCTTGAGACTAGCGGTGCAATGGTTCTCGGTAAAAAATCGAACCGTACCGTTCTCCACACACGGTTCGGCATACACTAGGACCGCGGTTCAACTTAAATCTGACAATGCATCTGTAATATGGTTTGTTAGAGTTCGGCTAATGCATATTTCTGTTGATGGATACAAATTCTGGCTTCCCAATACATTACAACAAGAGCGATGAGAGAGAGAAAAAAAAACAATACATGGACAAACCAGTCACTCTTTAAAGGGGTGGTTGACTGTTTTTTTTATAGGCTTGATTGTGTTTATGGGGTGCAGTCTAACATGTGTTAATGCTTCGTTTGTTAAAAAACGCATTATTTTTCACATAATTTACCTTTATTCCACACGTTCTGTCCCTTCTCCTCTGAACGCGCTGATCATTTCCTGCTTTTATGAAGCCCCTCCCTCAGAAATACACGATGGGCTCTGATTGGTTAGCTAGCCCAGTGTGTTGTGATTGGCTAAACCGCCTCTAGCACGCGTCTAAGCGTCCCACCCCTCACCTCAGCAGCATGTGCTCCGTGTGTATTGTAAACAATGACGTCGTCTATATTGCTTATCAATTTGAGCCCGATTGAGACGCTGAGGATATTATTGAAGAGGAATGTGCAGAACCTGTGCAAGCACGGCTTTTAATGGTAGGCCTAAGATTTTTGTTTGTTGTTGTCTCATACTTTTAGATACGCTGTTATTTGTAAATGCTACTGCTTCTGTTAGCTTTTAATATACAGTTTTATCCTGATTAAAGCATTAATACAGTACGGCAACCGCACGCACGTTGTTTAACGCTTCTCATAGCTATTAGGGGTGGGAATCACCAGAGGCCTCACGC